GCAGCATGAGATAATTCGCAGCATGAGCTCAGCAGCATTGATAATCAACATGTGATAATCAGCAGCATGAGATAAGCCGCATGTATAATCAGCATGAGATCAGCAGCATGGATAATCGGCATGAGATCAGCAGCATGGATAATCAGCAGCATGGATAATCAGCAGCATGAGATAATCTGCAGATCAGCAGCACAAATAAGTCATATAACAAACACCTCTCAGTGCAATTAAAAACTTGTTTTGGTTCATTTTTATTCATTAGCTGTCAGTTTCTATGACTTCTCAAGGCTTGTTGATTCTTCGCGTGTGTCGGAGCGGCAGGCATGGTCAAAAACTGCGAACGGTCTAAAAATGAAAACAGCAAGGTGTGGAAAATAAACATGACAGGAAGTTGTCACAGAGAAACAACTGAAATGTGTAAACTGATATGATTTTATAGTTGAGTTCTTTGGTGGGGCTCTTCTGTGAATGTTTATTGTGGCATAGGAGGAAATCTAACTTCACATTTTGTTTGTTTCTAAAATGACCAGCTTTAGTGACAATAATGATCCGCCGTGTGTGGTGAAGGTCTGCCTCTGGTTTTGCCGTTTCCTGTGTCTTCACCTCTTAACGTTTCAGTGCTGATAAACTTCTTTTTTCCTCTTCCTGTGTGAAAATGTAACCACAGATACGAGAGCCGCTTGGTGCAACCTTCCACGTGTGACAAACGTGCAAACTTGACTAATTTCACACATTAGCAGCAAAAGCACAACAGCAAAGTGCTTCTCTGAGTCGACGCTTATTTATTCAATTCTTTCACGTATTGTGTTTTTTTGTAATTCCGGCAGCGATAAGCCCGAGTGCCTGCTGTCCCGCTGCATCGTGGCGCCCATGTTGGCGCTGGATCCCGCCCTGCCAGCCAACGTTACCATCAAAGAGCTGCCTGCCATCTCTCCCTCCTTTTCTGCTGCCAAAGAGCTGCTGCTGATGAACAAACCCTTCCAGCCGACGCTCGCCGTCTCCGTGGTCGTCTTCCACTCGCAGGCCGACGGTAAAAACACAACGATGGAGGAGACTTTCTTTTCAGAACAACAACAAAAGGCCAACATTTGGCAGGAAAGGATGCTGCCTATTAATTAGTCTCAGATGGGAGAGTGATAAATACCGTATTTTCTGGAGTATAAGTCGCATCAGTCCAAAAAAGAATCACGAAGAGGAAAAAAACACAAGTCGTGTTAATATGCGTCACCGCTGACCCCTGGGAAACATGTTCCAGTGTTGTGCCAAAAATCGATTGGCGTCCGTGGGAGCGTCGTGCACGGGAGGACCCGCTGTTGCAGTTCTTCGAAATTTAACAAGATTAACACTTTAAAACAATTATTTGTTTACTCGACATTATAGCAAGGGTGTGTCTCAGTTTAACTTTTTCCTTAATAAATGCACTTTAATGGTCAATGTTTGGCAGGGGGCGGTTGGGGTACAAGTACACGAACAACATACCGTATTTTCCGCCCTATAAGTCGCGGTTTTGTACATAATTTACATGCCCTGCAACTTATAGGCCAACGTGACATATTCATAGATTTTTTCCCCCGATATTTATAAACCAATTTTTGGCTGAGATATGACTGTTTTAATTCATTCTGACTGAAATTTTTTTTTAACAGTACCATTTTCAGCCTGTAGATGGCAGCAGAGTAGTAATAGCTGTATGGCATACCGTTGTATCATGTAATAGGTAAACGTGGCTATAATGACCAATTCAAAAAAGTTCAAGACAAAAACAACTGGACTCTATTTATTATACTTTATACTTTATTGTTTGTTTTTCTTGAATTTTTTAAAAATTTACCATGTCCTGGATGACTGGAAATCTTCACCAGCTATTAATGACACAATCGGCCTGCCATAGTCTTCCCCCACCTTCATTCTGCTCGCTGCTTGGAACCGTCAAACCAGCTGCACCGCCCCGACGAAATGCAGCTAATTTGACCATTAAAAGTGCATTTATTAAGTAAAAGTTCAACTGATACACACATTTACTATAATTTCAAGCAAACAAATAATTGTTTTTAAGTGTTACTCTTGTTAAATTCTTGTTAAAGTCCTCCCGTGCACGCTCCCACGGCTGCCATTTGGCAGCCAATCGATTTTTGGCCCAGCACGCACCAGCCCACGTTTCCGGGTTGTCAGTGGTGACACATAATAGGTGCGACGTATTTATGGATTTTTCCACTTTATTAGACAAATATGGACTGATGCGACTTATAGGGCGGAGCGACGTATACAGCGGAAAGTACGGTATATGCCTACAGGTAGTTGTCAAAAGCCTAGAGGGCCCTCTTGCACCTCTAGTGGCTGCAAATGGTAATGCTTACTCTGGTTCATGTCAGTATGAATGAACATTTAAAGCACCAGTTAAAAATTGCGTCATGAATATGGGGGAAAAAAAACATATAAGTCACAGGACTGGCAAAATCTATACAAAAAACTGCGACTTATACGCTGGGAAATGTGGTACATGTACATTTTTTTCACGATGAAAATGTGTCTACAAAATGATGATTTTATTGCACTAATAGGAGAAATGTGTCTTTTCTATACTCATGAGATGATTCAAAGGGAGTTTGTTGCTTTTGTTTCCTGTGTTAACAGCTGATAAAGCTTATAAAGATGTTTCTAAAGAAGTCCAGAAGTTCTCCGTTTCCTGGTGTTTACTGGTGAGTGTTATTTTCTATCTTGTCCACTTCATAAATCCCCGACCTCCTTTTAAACGTAAAAGACACGAGCCTTGTTTGTATTCACGCTCACTGAATGGGGATAATTAGACTTAAAATGTTGCTTTATTCACGCCCAGACGACAGATAAAGAGGCTCCGGGTCTTATCCGCATGCAGACTTTGGCCTATCTGAGCGGCTTCCCGGCGTCCTTTAAGGAGACGGAGCAGCTGCGAGTCAAACTGCCCTCGGTCGTAACCGGCAAGATCAAACAGGTAAAACTCGCGTTTTCAGTCGTGCCTGTTATCGCAGAGAAATCTGTTGTTTGCATTTAAAAGGGAGTACAAAAACATCTGCTCACCTTTGGCTCATTTGTTCCTGAAACCTGTGGAAAATGATTGAAATCTACCTATAAAATGTTAAAATAGATAAATGTTTATGTTTGAAACAGCAGGTGGCAGTGTTGCTCTCTGGATCAGTGTGAAGCTGTTGGTCTTGTTTTTGTAGTTTTTTCTTACACAATGCAAAAGTCTTGGATAGATTTTGTAGTTTCTCTAGTGTCATCCAGGCATGTGGTGATGAAAAACACAACTTTTCATTTCTTATTTTGCCACCTGACTGCAGCTGTGTTCATAACTAAAACAAACTTTAGGTGTCCTTCTTTTTCTGCATCCAGAGAAGCATCAGTCGCTTCTTGGTGTTTATGAAGCGCTCACACTATTGTCATCCATTTTTCTTCCCTACGTTTTCCGGCATCTTTCTCGTTCTACAATTTTTGTACTATTTCAACAAATCAAATTAAAAGTTCAGCAGAAGGGTGCCATGACTTTTGGTATTGGTGTAACTTTAGCTTTTTGAAATATTTAGCCTTTTCTGCCACTTTTTCCTCATAGAAAATGAATTGAGCTCATTTTACATCCTTCAGATGTTTAGATGTGTTTACAACCCTTTACTGCTCCTTTCACATTTTGTTCTGATTCAGCTACTTTCAGCTGTTTTTCAGCTGTTTTATGCTCCTTTCAGATTGTTCCTGCTGTCTACAACATTTTTGTGCTTCTAACTTCTTTCTACTCTTTATGCAAGTTTCATCTTTTTCTGCTATTTCAGCCCTTTTTAGCTGTTTTATGCTAATTTTAGCTTTTTAGCTAATTCCACATATTTTGCACTCGTTTCAACTTTTTTCAGCTTAATTCAGCAAAAATGTACTCTTCACTTCTGGTAATTTAAGCTATTTTCTGCTTTTTAAGCTATTTTGCAGCTATTATTATTATTTTTTGCTAATTTCAGCTTTATTCAGATAATTTCCACCTTTTTAATGCTCATTTCTGCTTCTTTCAGCCTAATTTGGCAAACGTGTTCTTTCTGCATTCTTCTGCTAATTTCAGCTTGTTCTACATATTCAGCTACCTTTTCTTAATTTTTTTTTTTTAGCACTTTTAGCTAATTTCAGCTGTTTTCAGATCAATTCAAGTTTTTGTGGTAACTTCTGCTGCTTTCAGCTTAATTTACTTCTTTCTGCTAACTTCAGCTTATGCTCCTTTCAACTAATTTCTGCTAGTTTCAGTTATTTCAGCTACTATTTAGCTGTTTTCTGCTATTTTTAAGCTTTTTCAGCTTGTTCCACTTTTTTTTCGTTTACCCTTTATTTATACAGGTAGTCTCATTGAGTCACGAGAACTCATTTTCAAGAGAGACCTGTTTTTGGGAGCAGATGGTGGGGGGTTGAGGGCCTTGCTCAAGAGCCCAGAGTGGGGCAAATGAGGGTGGAGGCAGGTGTGGATGTTTCACCTTTTCCACCCACATTTTGATGTTGACGGTACCGCGAGTTGAACCTGCGCCTTTCCGATCACAGGCCCATCTTCTCTAACCTCTTTGCCGCCACTCCCCAATTTTCTGAGCTTCTTCCACTTCCTTTTGGTAGTTTAAGCTTCTTTCTGCCTTTTCAGCTACCTTTCAGCTATTTTTCTTTGTTAATTTCAGCCCTTTTTTTTAGCTGTTTTCTTAATTTTCTGCTTATTTAAACCTAATTCAGCAAATATGTGTTCTTTCTGCTTTCTTCTGCTAATTTAGGCTTGTTCTTCCTTTTCAGCTAAAATTAAGCATGGTTTTTTTTAGCTAATTTCTGCTGTTTTTCAGCAATAAGCATTTCACATTGCATTTTTGTAGGACATGCAATTTCTCTAGTTTTATTTTAAATGGAGGTAAAATGTCTTTTAAAAATGTAAGTTAAGGGCCTCATGTGTGGCTCTGCTGCGTCTGCTGACGTCCTGGGTATTCTAAGAGGAACAAACGGCACTAACGAGCGTGGTCTAAGCTGAAATAATCAAACAAAACAAAAGCAACCTGGAGCTAAGGGATCTTGTTGGACCAGCTGACTGGGAGGTTCAGGCGCGAGTCGACTGTGTGTCCCGTCTCCTGATAATAAAATCCCACGGCTGATGGAAATAAAAGGGGATAAATTAGGAAACATCTTTCATAACTGTCTTTGTATAGGAAGAGAGTGCAAACAAATGTTATACAACAGGCGTTTAATAATAGCAGTGGACTAATTCATGTGTTGCGTCACTTTTTTTTTTGAGTGAAACATTAAGTTAAATACATAGCAAATAATAAATAGTAAAATATATATTTTGGAAGACCCAATTAAATGACTTTTGGTTCTGATCAATTTAAATAAACTTCAATAAAATGTAAAGTGTTACATCCTCAACATACAAAAATTTGACATAAAACTTAGAAGCTTTTAGGTCTACAATGCCATATTTCACAGAAGTTTTTAGTAAAGTTAATTATTAAAAAAACATGTCAAGTAAATGAAACGACACAGACAAAGTGTATTCTTTACTGTAAAGTGTTATAAAAATAAGTATTTGAGGTAAATCGTGTGAATCATTTTTGGCACTCATTTAAACTTTTTTCGGCAAAAATGTGCTCTCTCTACTGCTTTCTTGTAATTTAAGCTTATTTCTGATTTTCTGCTACTATTCAGCTGTTTTATGCACATTTCTGCTTTTTTCAGATAACGTCCAGTTTTTTGTGTTTATTTTTGCTTTTTTTCAACCTAAATGGGCACACTTGTGCTCTCCATTTCCTTCTGATAAGTTGAGCTTTTTTCTGCTTTTTCAGCTACTTTTTACGCTTTTTTTTGCTTTTCTTTATTATTATTTTTTTTTCAGCAAATTTTCTAATTTTTGTGTTCAGTTTTACTTATTTAAACTAAATCTAGCAAATGTGCATTCTTTCTGCTTTCTTCTGCTAATCAAGGCTTGTTCTTCAATTTCAGCTACATTTCAGCAAGTTTTTTTTAAGCTAATTTTAGCTGTTTTTCAGCAAGTTCTTTAGCAATAAACATTCACACTGCATTTTTGCAGGAAATACAATTTCTCTAGTTTATAATTTGTTTTTTTCAAAAACAGAATTATAATAATATTTTTTTAAACATCTGATTAAAGCTTTGGTTTAGCATTTTAAGGCTGTTACTGTTTAGCAATGCTTGTGTTTGTTAAGGTGGCGGCCATCTTGAACTGCTTTGCGCCAAGTGTTAGTTTTAGATGTACATCCAGTGATTACTGATGGTTTCTCTAGCATCTGTCCAGTGGTTCATTGGATATTTTGCTAATATTTGCTGACAAACACAGACGGGCAAAAACATAATTGGCCATATTTTTAAGTGTTTGTGAACACAAACAGCTGGAGAATCTGTTGGACAGAGCGAACAGCTGCTGTGGAGCTCCTCCTCTGTAATGCGATGAGATGTAGGTTAGCACATTTAACCCACATATCATCAGCATGAAACCAGTTGTTCCTCTCAGTGGACTGGTCTCCATACTTCCTGTCATGTGTGTGTGATATTCAGGCCGTAACCTGACCTGTCGGCGCCAAGTTTACTAGAACCACCGTTAGGAGCAGCGCACGTTCAGCCAGCGCTCTGAAAAAGGCCACCGGTATTTTCCTGAACCCGTTTGAACTCCCAAACTCAAATCTGTCCTCGTGATTTTATCTAGGAGCTGGAAGGAGCATCAAGGAGTCCAGAAGAGGAGACGATTCAAAGTGCGCGTGTTTGCTGTTTTGACCTGGCTGGACTGTAGCCTCCACACAATGCTCAGTTTGGGTTTCAAGGTGCTTCCTGGTGTCAGTCGGCCTCTTCTGTGAAAGAGGGATGATGCGCATAGTGTGGAGGGAGCGGTTCAGCGCTGGTATTTATAGCTGGTGTTAGACACCATGATAAGGTGCTGAAAGCTGGACGACAACCCTGATCTTCTGCCCGTGCTGCCGCCTGTCGAGTCCTGCCCTCGTGTTTGTGCACCGGCCTGCCGCGCTGACGTTTTTAGATTAGTGCGTATTTTAAAACGTCAGGGAAGGCCAGCTGGATTGTTTTGAGGCATCCACTGCAAAGAGCACTTTGATTTAGGCTTCTCTAGAAAACCACCCAGTCATTCTCCTCCAAATGTCACCGTGACGACTCGTCTGCTTTTTACTGTCATTTTGCTTTCCGAACACACTTTTTCATCCTCTCTTTGTTCTTTGGCGTTTTAATTTTCAAATGTCAGCTGCTTAGAGATGTCCACTGCTGCATATATTTTAGGACAAAGTTTGAGGACTCAAAAGTTAAATCCAGTGACTTTGTTAAAGCGAATGGCTGCACATAAAATAAATTAAAAACTATAAATAACTACTGGTATTTTAAATTGTATTAGGCAGGGCTATTCAACTGGTGGCCCATGGGCCAAATTAGGCCCACGGTTGTGCTCAGGTTGGTCCACCAACGAGTTCATTTTTTAAAATAAAACTTGATTTTGAATCATAAAACAAACTTAATGTCAATAACTGCTGGATGTCCAGTCCCTGAGCTTTTGGCTTTTAGGAACTGGGGCCCCCTGAGCAATTTAGTTGAATAGCCCTGATATAAGGTGTTTTCAAGGGTCTTATAACCCTTTCTGGAAAGGGAACCTATCTATGTGGAGTTTACATGTTCTCAGTTCTTCCCACAGACCATGAACACGTCCATTAGGTTAATTAAATAGTTGAATCCCAGTTGAAATACTTCTTGGAGGATCATGTTATTCCAATCTGGCTTTAAATCTCTCCACAGCACTGAAACTGTTCTATTGAAGGTTTTTAATGATGTTTTCATAGCCACAGGTCCTTCTGTGCTGTTTGTCCTATTGGACCTCACATCCGCTTTTGACACCATCGACCATGAGATCCTCATTTCTAAACTGGAGCAGTTGGTGGGCATCACAGGGTCAGCCCTCAAATGATTTAGATCCTACCTCTTTGACGGAACCTTTTGTTCCAACATTGAGGAGTTTAGTTCATTACTGGCAACTCTTCTGTGGGGGGTACCACAGGGATCCACCCTCGGTGCTCTTCTCTTTTCTTTATACCTGCTGCCACTAGGTGCTATTTTCCATAAACATAACATACCCTTTCATTTCTACGCCGATGACTGTCAGATTTACTTCCCCCTGAGGCACAGTGGTACACGCTCTGTTCACCCTCTTTTTGACTGCCTTGCTGACATCAGGGACTGCATGTCTTTAAATTTCTTAAGCTTTAATGAGAAGAAGTCTGAAGTCATGTTGTTCCCTTCTAATGGCACGATCAAGGACCACAGTATTGACATCTCCTGTTTAGCCCTGCTAGAGAAACAAAGAGTCACAAATCTGGAGTGATAATGGACCCTTCCATGACACTTAACTCTCATGTACAGTAAACATGATTGTTAAATCCTGTTTTTTCCAGCTGAGGCGGCTGTCTAAGCTGAAACCCATATTGCCCCAAAATAACCTGGAGACAGTAATACATGCATTCGTAACATCTAGGCTCGATTACAGCAATGCGCTTCTGTTTGTATCAGTCAGAGCTCCATTGCACGACTACAACTTGTCCAAAATTCTGCAGCCTGATTTTTAGCTGGTACAGGCCATAGAGAGCACATTACACCAGTTTTGGCCTCCCTGCACTGGCTACCGGTTCACCTTCGAATTCAGTTCAAAATACTCCTGCATGTTTTTAAATCACTAAACAGTTCTCCCCCCTCTTATCTCACTGATCTGCTGCAGCCATATGTCCCACCACCCTCTCTGAGGTCAGCAGATCAGATGCTTCTTTCGGTTCCAGGAACCCGTCGTAGGCTCAGAGGTGACAGGGCTTTCTCTGTTGCAGGCTCAAGACTGTGGAATAACTCACTACATGTCAGGCAGGCTCTTTCTATCACTGTTTTGAAGTCTCGCTTTAAAACCTACTTTTATTCCCTGACTTTTAACACAGTGTGAGTTGATTTGAACCTGTCTGTATTCTACAATGTTAGCCATTAGTTATCTTCTGCTATTCGTATCTATATTTTATTTTACTTTAGTTTATGTTTTGCTGTGTGCTTTGCTTGTTTGTTTTCTGCTGTACAGCACTTTTGTTGGCCTTGTTGTTGTTTTAAGAGCTCTATAAGTAAAGTGGTATTGTATGGTAATTGGTGATTGCCTCTAGGTGCGAGTGTGAATGGTTGTCTGTCTCGTTTGTCTCTGGGTGATGGACTAACAACCTGTCCGGGGTGTCTCTTCGTCCGACTGCTGGAGATGGGCACCATGGATGCTAGAAGAGCCTTTTTAGAGATGCTGACTCTGACAGAGGTAAAGATGGGCAGAGGTTCACCAGTCTACAAGATGCTGCATTGATTGTCGTCTTTTCCTCATTTTCATTCTTCATTCGTTCCTAATCTGGTTCTGACAGCACAACTACTGGCTTTACTAATCTGGCAAATTAAAGAAAAGTTTGGTTTTAGCTTTCAGTCGCCTCAAGATTTCATAATAAACTGCTTGTTTGTTCATTTAAGGACATTATAAGTTATATGAAGATTCATCAAAGGTAACTTGTCAGTGTCAGCATCAAAATAATTTGCCTTAGAAGGATTATCATCATTTAGGCTGAGTCGTGATCAGAAGATAAGATTTTACTACCATCCTCTCATTTATATTAAAATGAAATCCCTCCGGAGCGGTTCAGGTTTTTTTTTTTTCTCTGATTGTGAATTTCATGCTGAAGGTCGCAGCTTCAGTTTAGACTAAATACCAGCTGCCTAAAGAGATCACTCACCACTCAGTTAATGAGTTTACTCACTCAGTTTCGACTTGTCAGATTACATTTTGGTTAGCCTTTGCAGTGACACGCGGGCCACAAACATTGTGGTTTAATGTGCTGAGAGTCCAATCCACATGGGACGTGTTAATACTGCGGTGAGGAGGAACTTCAGCTGCTGCCTGGTGGATGAGCTGATACCACCAGCTGTGGTTTTTTAAACATAAAGTGCTCAGAAAGATGCTAAGTCCCTTTATCTTTCACTTAAACACGCTGGTTTTTATTTTCACTGCTGTTTGAGGTGGTTTTGTTTTATTTTATTTAGAATGACAGCATTTTCCCTCCGCATGAGACAGGAAGCAGTCGCATGTGAAGCCTCGAACGGCTCGAGGGAAAACTGTAAAACATTTTGGTGATATGCGTCTTGTGGAGAATCACCGCTGCAGAAATGATCTCAACTGTTGGCAAATGTTGATTAACGCTGAAATCGGCTTCGGAAAACGGCGATTCTTCAAGCTAGATGCTGTTCTTTATTATTTTGAGCTCAGATTATATAGAGGTAATAATCAGGCTGCACAAACAGATAAATTAACTATGCTATTTTAAAAACCCTTTCTCAGCAGTGTTTTTACACTTGACACTTTGCTCTTGTGACAGTGTTTTTCTCACATCACGGATGCCCTTCATGGAAGGGGTGTTTATTTTAATTACAAATGGTTAAAAAAATTAATCTGTATGCCTTCTTGTGGCTGTCTGTTGTTGTCGCTGTTGTCCATTGTTGTCGTCATTCTTTGTTGAAATCAGGTCTCTCTTGTAAATGAGTCCTCAAGGCTCAATGGGATTTACCTGTCTAATTAAAGGTTGAATGAATGAATGAATGGACTGCATGTATATAGCACCTTTCTATCTAATTAAGATGCTCAAAGCTCTTTACAACACAATCTGTGCCCTCAGTTACCTCCACACACACATTCATACAGCACTCTACTAGATTTCTACAAAGAATAATCAGTGCTTTATCACATTCATACACCGATGAGACACACATCGGAGGCAATGAGGGGTTCAGTGTTTTACCCAGGGACACTTCAGCATGTGACTGCTAGTGAAATCGAACCCCCAACTCTTGCATTGGAGGACGACTGCTCTAACCACTCAGCCACAGCTGCCTATCATCATCATCTTTATTGTTTATTTAAAGGGTTCTCATCTCACACGACTGACATCTGTCTCTATTCTCTCAGACACGTGTTTATTTGTCTTGCAGTTTGAGTTGTACTCGGAGGCCAGCATCGCTCTGCTCCACCTGAACACCCCTCAGGATTTTGCTGATTTGGCCCAGCAGGCTAAAAAGAACCTGACTCTGGATGGGAAGGAGTTATCCATCAGCCCTGCCTACTTGTTTTGGGACATTACAGCCATCTCCCAGGTGACGGCCATCTTTCATATCCTCCCCTCAACACGTTACTTTAAAGTTGACTCATTAAATAGTATTAATTTTTGTTTTTGTTTAATACACAACTTTATTCAAACTCAAATAGTTTTTCTCTCCTTTATTTTCACTGAGATGGTTATCAGACATATCACCACAAACAATTTGAAATCCATGTCTCATATAGTAAGATACCATTAACTAAATGGACAACAGTAGCAGTAAAAGATGTTTTATTGTAATTTAAAATATGTTTTCCATTCAGTCTAAACAGGACGAAGACGTCTCAGCCAGCCGATTTGAAGACAACGAAGAGCTTCGCTATTCGCTGCGCTCCATAGAGAAGCACGCCCCCTGGGTGCGACACATCTTCATCGTAACGAACGGACAAATTCCCTCCTGGCTCAACCTGGACAACCCCCGAGTTTCAGTGGTTACACATAAGGTACCCTCCACACTGGATTGCACTATCTTCTTGGTACCACTTTACAATAAGGCTCCCCTTATAGATGGCTAATAAATAGTTTATAGATGCGTTATTAATTCCACTATAAACACTTTATTAATCATTAATAATAGTTTATTATGGATTAATTAAGGGTGACAGACAAACGTGCCCAGTTTGTTGCCAAATCTGTTTACCTACAAATTTAATTTGGAGTTGTTATATTAAACATTTCACACTACCTTGTTAGCACAATAAGCATTTGTAAATCTATTTTTTTAGAATATAATTTTAGTTGCAGATACTAATAATGCAGTGATAAAGTACAATATTATATGCTAAAGAAATAGGTTTACAAATGCTTATTGTGCTCACAAGGTAGTAGCTTAGTCTGAAATATTTAATATAACAACTCTAGATGAAATATATAGGTGAACAGATTTGGCAACAAACTGGTCAGTTTTGTCTCAGTCACCCTTAATTAATGCGTAATAAGCAGTTATTAATGATTTATAAAGTGTTTATAGAGGAAATTAATAATGTATCTTTAAACTGTTTATTATCCATCTCTAAGGGGAGCCTTATTTTAAAGTGGTACCATTTTCTTTACTAGTTTATGACCAATCCATAAACCTCAACGATGTTTTGGAAGGTCTATTTAAAAGTACAACAAATACTGAAAATAATCTAAACATTTCTGCTAAACACAAATTATTATGTTGTTATTAATGACTGCTTGTTATTTCTTTTCCCCAGGATATCTTCTTGAACCACACCCACCTTCCCACCTTCAGTTCCCCTGCCATCGAGACCCACATCCATCGAGTCCCGGGGCTCTCCCAGAAGTTTATTTACCTCAACGACGACGTGATGTTCGGCAAAGACGTATGGCCCGATGACTTCTACAGCCACTCGAAGGGGCAGAAGGTTCAAACACAACAATGAAGTACTCACCGTGTGGTTGGTTCTGAAATCTAAATCCCAAACTGGCTTCACGCTCGTCTTTTTCCACTCCCCTTCAGGTGTACCTCACCTGGCCTGTTCCTAACTGTGCAGAGGGCTGTCCAGGATCCTGGATCAAAGATGGCTACTGCGACAAAGCTTGCAACAACTCTGCTTGTGACTGGGATGGAGGGGACTGCCTCGGTGAGGGGCTCAGCGCTGATATCGCTACGTAATTAAGCTGTTTTGTGTTTAATACTTTGTCTCCGACAGGTGCAGCAGGGAACAGGTTTCCAGCAGGTGCAGGTGGGATTGCGCCCGATGGAGCAGGTGGACAGGTGTGGCAGTTTGGAGGTGGTCTAGGAGGTGCTGGGGGGACCTTATACTGCAATCAAGGCTGCGCCAACTCGTGGCTAGCTGATAAGTTTTGCGACCAGGCCTGTAATGTTCTCTCCTGCGGCTTTGATGTGGGCGACTGCGGCCAAGGTGAGTTTAAAGCAAACCCATCAAGTTCTGTTTTTTTTTAAATTATTATAATTTAATCAAATATGATGGAAGTGTCAACAAATTTCATGAAAATATTTAAATGAGCGTGTAGGCACTGTCTGCATTGTGAAAACCTTAACTAATATTCCAACTCCTATCCACTTCTCTACAACTACTAAAACACATGAAGGATCCACATTTTAGTACCTTGATATACTACAGTAAATACGCTTTTAGTGCTATAACCGCTAATACACATCAAATATGTATTTGTGGTTAAAACTGTTCAAGAAAATTGTTCCAACTTCTCTAGTTTCTGTCATTGAAACAAGTATTGTACAAAAACAATAGCAGGAAAATAAAAATAAAAACATGAAAACAGTCTCACAGTTTGACTGGATACAATAAAAAGCCATCCTTCAGATCGTTCTGGAGGATTCTGAGATATTCTCAGTCCAGAGAGAATATTTCATTCCTCAGGTAGGCTCTGGATCTGCAGAAAAATCTCATTCACTGAGAGCCCTACTCAATCCAGATTATCTGGTTAGATTATTGTGTGTGTGTAGTGTTTGAATACAGTAGTCCCTCGTTTATCACGGGGGATCTGTCCCATGAAGCCCCGCGATAAGTGAAAAACCGCTAAGTAGAGATAGTAGTACAAGTAGTAAGTAGTAGTTTATTTTAGTATTTATATAAATATATATATATATATATATATAAGGCATTTTAAATCCTTCCCACACTCTTGCAACATTCTAAACAATGTTTCTAAACTCTACTGTTAAAGAGCACAGAGTGTCATCATTTCAGCTCCCTGCCTCTGCTGCTCTGTGCCACCTGCAAGCGCTCTCGGCCACGCCCACTTCTCCGCTCTGCACGGAGATCAGCTGATCAGCCGCAGGAGGAAGCTTATCCTGCAGCATGGCCTGCACAAAGGTGCAGCAGGTGCTAAATAATTTAAAATACTTTATTTTAAATTAAAAATCCATGCCGATCGTGCGGCTCATCCCATCAATCAGCCAATTTTGTGTCGTGTCCAATCTTATTTTGAAAAGCCGCGATAGAGCGAGTCCGCGACAAACGAACCGCAAAGTAGCGAGGGACTACTGTAATGTCAAAATATTGGGAATTTTGCATTTGTAGGTCATCAGATCTGAAGTTATGTACAAGATGCGACTCAAATGTTGACTTCTCGATAATTAAAGGGTCTGGGATTGTAGTGCATCAAAACTATTCAGAAATCACAGCCTTCGAAGGTTACAGGAACTTTAGCAAACACTAAATGGACTGAATTGTTGGTCTGGTCTTGTTTTGTGAACTGATATTAAAATCTTGACTCTTATTTTAGAGCACTTTGGAGAGCTGTACCACGTGACCCTGCTGAGGAACCAGACTCTCTACACTCTCCCTCAGGGCGAGACCAAGCCGTATTTCAGCTTTGAGAAAGTAGCTCACAGAGTCTCCGAGGCCCACGTCAGTGACAGCCCTGCGGTGCGACACACTTCTGTGGCCAACAAGTGGAAAAGCATTCACCTGCTACTCCATCCAGGCCACAACGCCACCCGCATTCAGTACAACCTCACCTTCCAGAGAGAGGATGACACGGAGTTCAAAATGGTCTTTAATGTCGCTGTGGACACCCGTGAGGTCCCTCAGAGTAACGTTTCCAAGACTTTGAGCAAAGAGGCAGGAAAAGAGTCCGAGCTGACCACGACTCGTGAGCCGGTTTTCCCTTTCTCGGATGTTCCTGAGGAAAAACGAGGGCCTAAGATTCACAAGCTTGGCAAACCTGAGGGTATCATCCAGGTTCCTTCAGTAAATGTGTCCCTGCTGCCAGCTGTTGTGCGCAGCGAGCTTCAAAAGTTGGAGGAAAAGCTTCTGATCGGCGACATTACTATGAAGGGTTATAATTTCACCAGGGCTGCACTTCTGGAACCGTACAGGTCGCTGTCTGAAAAGCACCCGAACGTTAACTTACAAGCAGGCAGAGCTGAGGAGAAGCCTTACAAAGACTTGGAGGGGGTTCACCAAGAAACGAAGCCTCCCGTGAGAGATGCCGTTCCAAAGATCGTTCAAAAACATCACAACTTGGATGAAAAAACGAGTGAAAAAGCCGTTTCTGTTGAAAGGAAACTCGTTACTCCTTTCATCCCCGTCCACATTGACGATAAGGTTAATAATGTTGTTAGTCCCAAACAGTATCCTCTGAACGCTGCGATTGAGAGACCCATGATTTCCAAACTTTTAGGCAACTTTTCCCAAAGAAAAGGTGAAGAGATTCGAGCCCAGTCACTCAGCGGTCCTTTAGTTGGAAGGAAACTCCAGCACTTTACTTCCTCGGATCGAGGCTTCCTGCCGTGGGAAAGGAGGAAATATTTCCAGGCTTTTCTTGAGGTAAGTAGATTCTTCCAACTTTTAATTGGGGACTGCCTACAAAGGCAGCCACCTATTATTATCCACCTGAAAAGGGTCTTGCTCTTCCTTCAACTTTAACACGGCCCGAACCACAAAGTGTACCCCCACTAATTTTATATCAGAACAACCGGCTCAGCACTGTGATGTGTGCTATTACTTTTATTGGCCTTTTGAGTTACCATGGCGACATAATTTGCAAATAATGACGCCATTTTTCCTCATTAAAACACACTGACAGAACTCAACAGCTGCCACAGAGAGGTCACAAGAGGTCTCTGAGCAAAACACTGAATAATGTTTGGAGGCATTTTGGTTCAAGATGGCCGCCACAGCTACCACAGAAAACCCCAAATGGACTATAACTCATTCTGTGAGATATTGAGCTGAAATTTGTTATGGTCATATCTGAGAGCGAGTTGCTTTACATTCCGGATGCAAATTAAAACTCCATAATGGTCGCCTGTGCTAAAAAGGAAAAATGCTATAAGTCAGCCATTTTTAGCAATGTTAAGCTAAAATTTTATGTGGTGGTAGCTGAGAGCAATAAATACCGATTCCAAATTAAAAATTCAAGATGGGTACAAAAGCTACATTTAAATGGCTTCAACTCAGCCATTTTGTGCATTTAGCCAACTGTTCGTACCACTTTACGCATCATTTGCTTTGTGTTAACGCCACAGGAGGTCGAGCGTCTTCAAAAAGAACTGTCCTATGAGACGGATGGTACGGCTACCGGGCGAAAGCTGCGAGACACGTTTGCCGACTCGTTGCGTTACGTCAACAAACTGCTCAACAGCCAGTTCGGCTTCACGTCCCGCAAAGTCCCCGCCCACATGCCCCATATGATCGACCGTCTCATCATGCAGGAGCTGCAGGACACGTGAGGAGGATGAAAAAGTCTACATCTGTGTTTACATCTGTGTTCGACTGAGCAGCACTTTTCTCCCCAGATTCCCAGACGAGTTTGACAAAACGTCGGCCCACCGCGTCCGTCACTCGGAGGACATGCAGTTTGCCTTTTCGTACTTCTACTTCCTGATGAGCGCCCAGCAGCAGCTCAACGTCTCGGAGGTGTTTGATGAGATTGACACGGACCACTCGGGTATTTTGTCCGACCGTGAGATCCGGACTCTCGCCACGAGGATCCACGAGCTCCCCCTCAGCCTCCAGGTCAGTCCAAATCGCTGATTTCTCATCCTCTCCTCAAAATTCAGGTTTTGAATTTTTTTTTAATAACTTGTGTTAAATGTAGGACCTGACAGGTCTTGAGCAGATGTTGATAAACTGCTCTAAAACACTCCCGACTAACCTGACCCATCTCCACCTGGTGAGCCCGACTCAGGAAGCCTATTATGACCCCAACATGGTGAGTTGAATTAACCTCCAACCATATTCAAACCTTTGTGACTGGGTAATTTAAACCTAAATGTTTTTTAAGCCCCCTGTTACAAAAGGCCTCATCCTTCACTGTAAGTCCATCACAGAGCGGATTCACAAAGCCTTTAAAGACCAAAACAAATACAAGTGAGTTTATTTTTACTTAATTATGCATTTATTCCTAAATGTTGAAGCTAACTTGAGTTTTGTTTGACAGGTTTGAGATAATGGGGGAGGAGGAGATAGCTTTCAAAATGGTGCGGACCAACGTGTCCCACGTGGTCGGCCAGTTGGACGACATAAGGAAGAATCCACGGTGAGCTTCATAAAACAGAACCAGTCTTCTTAAAACTCTGGTCCAGTCACAGGCTGAGTCTGGTCCATCTGTTTTGTCACCAACAGGAAGTTCATCTGTCTGAACGATAACATCGACCACAGCCATAAGGACGCCGCCACAGTAAAGGCGGTGTTGAGAGATTTCTATGAATCCATGTTCCCACTGCCGTCCCAGTTTGAACTTCCCAGAGAGTACCGCAACAGGTTCCTGCACATAACAGAGCTCCAGGAGTGGTAATACATTGGATATGTTTGGTTCTTCTGTCTTCCAACTACTGGGAGGTGTTTGTGATAATGAACATGCATCATCAGTGCTATAGGGCAAATATTTTATTTGCAAATTGACTCTCACTAAAACCATTCCAGCCATGTTTTATAACCTGCAGAGGTGATTTTTATGCCTGGTTCCATGCAGGTGTAGGTAAATACTGCATCTCCATAATGAGAAATAGTACTGTGGAGTTGTGTAGAGGTGTGCACACATTTAAACTTAACCTCTTGGACTTTTTGAAAATCTTAACCTGAGATGATTTGTACAGCTGGTTTTGGTTTAGTTCTTCCAGCATGTTTTCAATAATAAATTCACTTAAACTTTTCAAAGCTACCTCCCTCCCTCCTTGATAATGTGACATTAAAGTTGCATTAAAGCTTTCTTTTAAAGCTAAATAGGAGCTCATTGTGCCTTTGAACCCAACTATTTATTCTGTTTTTATTAATATTATTATAAATGATCATTATGGGTGCACTTTTACTGGAAGAACTACAAAACAACATGCAGGATTTTAGTAGAACTACTCCGTGATGCAGTTCGTTACTCCTGCCGCACCAAAAGCCAAAGAACATGTTTCAACCCTTCACAATAAGAGTCTCAAACACATACACAAAGATAACGTAAGAAAACTCTCCAAACATCTGAACATTATGGATCATCTTATGTTTTTGTTCTTCAGTGCTTCAGTGGTTTAGATGAACAACTGCTTGCCATTTCCTAGTTAACCCAGTAAAAGTGCATCCATCTATAGAGGGTGAAATGTGACAAAATTAAACAAATACGTAATAATTAAACATATCATTTAATTATCCAATATATAATTAAATCATTAAATATACAATTAAATGATTAAATACGCAATTAATTAAATGTCCCATGAAATAAATAAATGTGTCTTTTAAATTCTTTATTTCATAATGTATTTATTTATTTAATTTAGTCACATTCCACCCTCCATACCCCATCAGCCTTGGATACAAGAATAACGAAAAACAGAACAAATACAGTTGGGTTCAGGAACACAAAAAGCTTTATCCCCTCAGGTTTACTCTTGTAAGAAAATATTTTTTTTTTCTTAATATTGCAACTTTTTCCTGTCAATAATATTCCCACTTTAATCTCTGAACCCAAAAGCCCAACTGTCTCCTTATACTATATATACCTTACCTTATATATACTTTATATCTTAATACTTTATTGTCAGAACATTTAAAATCTTCAGAATTTTTTTTTTTGTACCGTCAAAATCACGATCATGGTTTTCAACTAAATTCAGCTAAATCTGGAATGTCTGACGATTTGTTTGATTGAGTTTCATGTTTGCCAAGATTAACACCAGCTGTTTTATTTTATGACCATAATCAAGGAGTGTTATTATCACAATATCCAAATGTCTGACTTAATTCAACCAGAAGTCAAAACCTCTGCGAGGTTAAAACAGTTGAAGAAAAGCAGAAAAATTATCTCATAAAAAACCCAAACTGGTGCATTAGCAGCATTTCTTACTGATAAGTTAACTTCTCATTGACCTCTTTAGTCATTTCATCATCTAACTGCTCATATCTCAGATATTATAAAGATAAAAAGGCTCTGTCCTCTTGGACTGAGTGTTTTCTTGTTGAAGTAGTGGAAATCTATTAGGAGGGTGTAAAGCTTGAGAATGCCCGTTTTAAATAGAAACTTTAAATTTAGCTCGAGCTGCTTCAGGCTAGTTCTGAAATGTGCCTTCTTCTCTCTGAATCAGCGACACAATGGTGTTGGGGGTGTCACTTTGTCACCCTGTTGCCCTGCTGCCCTCTGCATGCTGCTGCCCTCACAACACTTAGCCCAGAAGACAAGTCAGGAAATGCTTGTGCTCGATGCGTTAAAGAATAACCTTAAACGTGTCGTTTTCCAGGCGGTTATATCGAGACAAGCTGAAGTTCTGGACCCACTGCGTCCTCGTGACTCTGGTCGTCTTCACCGTCCTGTCCTTCTTTGCCGAACAGGTCGGTATAGCCACCTCAGTTTGTTTACACGTTCAGATCAAGACACATCAGCGCACCCGCTCTCTGTTTCCATGATTCATTCTTGAGCTATGAGCGCTTCAAAACGCCAATCTGAGCTCATATGTCAGGTTAGTTTGATCAGCTGACTTTACGGAAGAGAAAGACTCTCAGAAATCCTTTTTGAAAGGTGAGACCCTTGTGGATCTGGATCAGAGCGTACTTTAAACCTTTTGTCAGATAAAGTGGATCTATAGGTGGAATTTTTGGAAAAATTTTTGATGGTTTTCTCCTGTTTTAGTACTGAACCTCACTGGACAAACTGCAGGCCTTGTTAAAGAACTCTACCCGCTCAACGGTTGTAAGCCACCATCTTAATCCATAGGTTTCCAGTTGCTCCTCAGCAAAGTTAAAGAAAGGTTAATAACTGGGATGACCTAAGGGGAATCTCAAACACTGCAGCCCCACAGGGACCAGTGCTCCCAGTGAGGAATGTGTCGGACTCGTCCAGCGTCTCTGTCGCCGCTCAGTTGATCTTTTTGGCAGCAGTTGAGTCTGACTGTCTGAGTTACGAAAGTACAGTTTAGATTAAAGAGATCAAAAGTGTCCTCGCCCCCCACTCCGCTGCCTCACATCTAAGGTTATATTTGCTTTCTTGGTTTACAAAGATGGTAAATGGACTGTACTTATGTTGTGCCTTTCTATCTGCGTAATCAAGATACTCAAAGTGCTTTACAACACAATCTGTGCCCTCATTCACCTCCACACACATTCAGACATCACTCTACTACATCTCTACAATGATAATCTGAATCTGTAGAATAATCAGAGCTGTTTCACATTCATACACTGATGGGACACACATCAGAGGCAACGAGGGTTTCAGTGTCTTGCCCAGGGACACTTCAGCACGTGACTGCTAGTGGAATCGAACCCCATCTCTCCCATTGGGGGACGACTGATCTAACCATTCAGTCACAGCTGACCCTGAAGATACAACTAAAAGATTACCGTATTTTTCAGACAGTAAGGTGCACCGGATTATAAGTCACATTAAGCAAAACAAAACAGAAAAGTCAAACTTTATTCAGCTCATTCACAATAACTCTCAACATTGTTCAGTAACACATAAAATCAGTTCGAGGTCAGGAAGCACAGCCATAATTTAATACATAAGATGCACCAGATTATAAGGCTCACTGTTGATTTTTGAGAAAATTAAAGGATTTTAAGTGTGCCTTATAGTCTGAAAAATACGGTAGCTGAAGCTAAAAGTAGCAAAATGTCAGTTAAATGTTCAAAGTAGAAAAATACCATCTTAAAGCTAAATGTATCAAACCTCAAGCTAAAAGTAGCAAAAGACTAGCCATAGCTAAAAGTTTCAAAAGGCAAGCAAATTGCACGTTAGAAACTAAAAGTTTCAAAAGGCAAGCAAATTGCACGTTAGAAACTAAAAGTTTCAAAAGGCAAGCTAAAAGCAGCAAAAGAAGACAAAAATGCAGTAAGTTTGCTAAAGACATTTTCAAAAAGAATAATGTTTTCATTGGAAATAAATAAATGTATTTCTAGAAAATATTTATAAATAAGTTTCAAAGTTCATGCTCAATAATTCAGGTAAAAAAAATCCAACAAAGTTCAGTCAGGTCATCTGGACGGTTTATTTATTTTTTTGTCGTTGTTGAGACGTTTCGTCCTTCATCCAAAGGACTTCATTAATCTGAGGAGCCACAAACAAACTCAGTTCCACAAGCAGCGCACACACAGTGGACCAACCAGTTTGTGGCTCCGAGAGGCTGTTGGCTCCTCGCATTGAAGAAGTCCTTTGGATGAAGAACGAAACGTCTCAACAACAACAAAAAAAACTGTCCACTGTTTGTTGTTGTTGTTTTTTTTTAAACCTGGATCATTGAGCATGAACTTGGATGTTTTGAACCACTCTGGCTATGGCTGCCTCAGAGGAGTCGACAGGGGAGAGAGTGGTCCCCAGAAACCATCTTATCACCAGCAAACTGGTTGGGCCACTATGGGAGTGTGCTGCTTGTGGGACTGAATTTGTTTGTGGCTCCTCGGACTGATGAAGTCCTTTGGATGAAGGACGAAACATATTAACAACAACAAAAAAGAAACAGTCCAGATGACCTGACTGAACTTTGTAGGATTTCTAAATAAGGTTAAATATTTTTGAAATGTACAGGAATGACAAAAAAAAAACAAAAGTTCCTAGCACCCACTTCTTGAATGAGCCGAACGTTTTGCAATGTGCACAGCTGAAATCGAACAAGTATGGAGAATTAGTTGGACTGCACAAAAAAACAAGAGGAACTGTGAAAGTGCTGAGTCAGCTTTTCTTCAATAACACAAATACCAATTTCCTCCTTTTTTTTTTTTCTTCCCAGCTGATTCTGCTGAAGCGAAAGCTGTTCCCCAGACGCAGAGTAAACAGAGACAGCAACCCCGAGCGGGTGTGAAGGAGGAAGACTTCCCGCTCTTCTCTCTGAGCTTCGCCCTCCACCTCCTCTCTTCTCCTCGGCAGCGAGGCCGGGAACAGAGTCCAGACTGGGCGACTGGGTTGAAACGGGAGTCCAGAGTGCGGCGTCCCGTCGGCGCAGCTGGAGGCTCTTGTCAGGAGTGGAGACATTTTGAAGATGATGGATGGTGATGGCCGGTGAAAGAAACCACAGCCAGACATTTGATACCTGTAAACTTTATTTCTTTCATTGAGAGCGTTGGAGACACTCCTCTCACCTCACATCGCTCTTCCATCGCCGTGCCATCGACCGGTCACTGACAGATATACTGGTTATAATGGACCTCCCCACTGCAGCAGGTTTTATCACAAAATACTCAAACTCCACTGCTGCTTTTATTTCTACAAAACGTTTAAAGTGTTCATTTATCCGCGTTTGTCTTTTTTAAATGGGTTTGAAACAGACGGGGTCCAAATTGGCTGCTGGGAAAATAAAATCGGTTAAAAAATAACGTGTTGCTTTTACGATGTTGGTTTCCTTTTTAAAAACGGTTTCGACTGTTACCTTTCAAACGAAGTGCCTTTCTGTTCGGTTCGAACGTGTTCTGTACGTTGGACTCTTGGTTTACGTTGTGACTGGGGCAGGGAATGTGTGGATTATTACCGTATTTTTCAGATTATAAGGCGCACTTAAAATCCTTTTAATTTTCTCAAAAATCAACAGTGAGCCTCATAATCTGGTGCACCTTATGTATTAATTCTAGTCGTGCTTACTGACCTCGAATTGATTTTACGTGGTACATGGCGCTCAAAAATCTGTCAAAATGTTTTAGTTTTGCTTAATGCACCTTATAATCTGAAAAAATACATTATTGTAATAGATGTGGTACGGATTATGAGTGTGCCGCCTTTACAGCCACCTGTAAGTGTGTCCCTGTGGGACTCGTCAGGCTCGCTGCTGTCTGAAATTCAGACCCCCCAATCTCCCAGTACGTTCTGTAACTTATTGTTGTATTGTGACCAGGATGGAAACATGGTTTCATAAACTGCTCGCCATCTTCCAAATCTCCTCTGAATGTCGGTTTTAACCATGTTCTGTGTTAAAAAGAGACGATTTAAGCGACTGCTTGGAGCTACGGTGTTCGTCGGCGAGTCGGACGGGACACTATACGAACATTTCTGGGATTTTTCTTGTTTTGGATCAGTGGTTTGATTGAAATAAATTTTATTTGGTTCAGTCATTTTGATTTTATTTTATTTTTTCTCGTGTGACTTTTTCAGTCGCTATTTGCTTGTATTTTAAATTATGTCTATGAATAACTTTATTTGTGCCACAAAGTAGAGCAAGAAAATGTCATGTTAGGACTGTAATGTGCATCGTTTATGGAGTCTGAAGTAATTTTTTGTTTCTTGAAGGAATGCGTATTTCTCGGGATGACTCGGCCACCACCACCAATGTTTAGGTCAGTATCTGTAAAACTGGCTGCATTATTATTATTTATGTTTGCCAAGGCTGCTTTGCTGTGGCAGCCATCTTGTCTGACCAAACGGTAATCTGTTGCAGATGTACCTCCAATGATTACTTTCTTAAAGGTTCATTAAAGTCCCTCTACTGGTTCATGAAATGCGTTGCTAACAGACGTTTACATCTTAAAACTTGACCAAAAGTGTTCTCTTATATTCGAGTTCTTTCATCAGACCACGTTTTTGCCAATTCTTGAATACGTCTTCCTTCACTTCCTTCAGTAAATAAAAATAACCATATGTCAAGACTTATTTGACCTTTAGACATATACGTGTGGAAAGTTTTCTGTGTCGATGTTACGGAGAGTATTCAGAGTCGTTATCACCAAGTGTCATGAAAGGCTTTTAATATTTCAGCATAGTGATGATTTCTTTCTAACTCGAACCATTCAAAAGAGCCAAAGGCTTCTACTGCAACAAAATATGTTTTATAATATAGTACAACAAAAAAGTAATCCTAAAGCATTTAACAAATTATTATTTCAAACGTGAAAAAGATCAGATTCTACAGTTTGCAAAAAAGAGCAGAAAAAAGTTCCATCTCTACAGAGTTAACTTTTTTTTTATTTTATTATTTGTAAAATAAGCCGTGTTTCATAAATATCACCGTTGCATTTTGTTTAACGGCCACTGCTATTCTGCAACATTCATCTGTCCACAGTGCCTGTAAAAACATCCACCCACCTGGATATTTTATTACTCATTAATTTATCCTGGTGCAATCACTTATTTTACATATCATTTTAAAAAAAATTGGTCTTTGAAGAAATTGGATTTCACTTTGATGCAAATTTTCTTAGAAAGAAGGCCTATTTTATTGACAATAAATGCTCTGACAAAAGCGTAATATTCAAGCACTGTTTAAAAACCTTTTAAAAGTAAATTACCCATTTTTTCTCGCGTATAAGTCAGTTTTTTTGCAGAGATTTGTCAGTCCTGCATCTTATATGGTTTTTTTTTTCCATATTCGTTACGCAAGTTTTGACTAATGCTTTAAATTTCGAAGAACTGCAGCAGCGAGTTCTCCTGTGCACGTTCGCTTCACTCAGCTGGTGCAGGTGGAGGAACGCTGGAGAGCTAGTGGCTCCGGCCGTGATGGATAGAAGACGCAGTTCCGCCCAGGCGAAATAAAGCTGTTTTGATTATTAAATAAACGCATAATAACCTTTATTTAACAATAGTAATAATAATTAAAGCTGCAAGCAGCGTTGAAGGCCCTCGCAGCTAA